GGCATCAACGTCACGAGCTACTACCTCCCGACCGTCCTCATCCAGTCCGTCGGTCTCGACAACAAGACTGCCCGACTTCTCGCTGCATGCAACTCCGTCAGCTACTTCCTCTTCAGCTTGATCGGCATCCCGAACGTCGAGAGATGGGGTCGTAGGAAGATGATGATGTGTACGTCCCTCCTCCTGCTGCAACAAGACAACCGCTGACCAAAACAGACGCCGCTGCCGGCCAATTCGTCTGCTACCTCGTCATCACAATCTGCATCCGCCACACCGAACTCGGAAGCCTCTCGGCCGAGACGCAAGGCCAATGGGCCAAGGCCTCCATCGCCTTCTTCTTCCTCTACTACGTCTTCTTCGGCATCGGCTGGCAAGGTCCGTCCTCTCCCCCACCCCCCATCCCCCGTCACCATACTAACTCCGTCCCAAGGTGTCCCCTGGCTCTACCCCACCGAGATCAACTCCCTCTCGATGCGCACAAAGGGCGCCGCCCTCGGCACCGCGACCAACTGGATCGTCAACTTCATGGTCGTCGAGATCACGCCCCCGGGCATCTCCACCCTCGGCTGGAAGTTCTACATCATCTGGACCGTCTTCAACTTCTCCTTCGTCCCCATCGTCTACCTCTTCTACCCGGAGACCGCCGACCGCACCCTCGAGGACGTCGACCGCTTCTTCGCCGAGAACCACGAGGTCCTCGTCTTCCGCAACCCGGACGCCACCTCGTCGAAGCGCCCGCTCAAGTACGTCGCGCAGGAGGAGGACCAGATCGCCAAGAGGAACAGCGGCGTCGTCCCCGGCGAGGTGGAGGACATGTTGCGCCGGCGGGGCGCCGCGGGCGTGGAGAAGAAGGGCGAGGCGGACGAGGAGATGGCGTTTGGGGAGCACCAGGAGAGAAGGTGAGATGGGAGAGTGGATGGGTTGATGATTATGAGCCATGTTTTAGCATTATGATACCTCAAGAATCTGCATTTGATCGCTTACTTCATGTTTGGTCTTTGGTATGAGTGATCCATAGTTTGAAGCTGTGAGGGAGAACCAAGCCAAGCCACCGATTCCCACATGGCTGGAACGCTTTCGCAGGCATGGTTTTCTTCCTGGCGTCAGGTTTACTTCGCAAGAAGACCCACCCACCATGCCAAATGAATGAAAGTCTCCAGTTTCGACAACACACTCCGCGAAGGCGCGAAGGCTCCCAGGTAAGACATGACAGACAGAGCAATCAAACTCTCACTTGAACATGTATCCAATCAGTCAACACGCTCGCGAAAACCCTGCCTCCATCTTCGCCCTCCCTCACCCCAAAAAGCAAACATCCGGCCATCCCACACGGAAAACCCAAAAAGTTGCGCCGAGGGGGAATCGAACCCCCGGCTCCCCGACGCTGCTTGATGGCAACGGAGAATTTTACCACTAAACCATCGGCGCTGATGGAACATCCAATGAGATGCTTGCTACTCTTCGTCGGTAGGCGGTATGTGTCCGGTGGGAATGAGGGAATTTTCGTCTTGTCATTTTGGTGTGTTGCGGAAATTTAGTGGGTGGGAAACGGTTGCGTGAGAAAAAAAACCCAGCAGCTGTGGGCGCATGTGGCTGGCTGGCTGGTGGTGGTGCTGAGGAATGTGGGGGAGCGTTGCAACGACCCCTGCGCCATGGACTTGGCGGGCTGGCTTTATTCTGACATCCTTCATTGTTTTGCTGGGGATTGACTTTTCGTTGTGTTGATTGTGTAAGGTAGGGCAATGGCCTGTCTACTCATTTTTTGATATGAGGACGGGCTCTAACAAAGACACACTGACTTCACACTCAAAGGTGACAGGCACAAGGGCCTCAATGGGTGAGAGAACCTTAGCATTCGTAGCAATCCGAGCCCAAAGTCTACGATAGAAGCGTCCAACCATCTCAAACGTATCGTTGCCAGATACCAAAAACACCTCGTTCCGTTCCCTTCCAGATCCAATCTAGACCCAAGCCAAATCCCATCTACCAAGATAAGAAAACCTGAACCCAAGTCGCATGTTCAAAAGCATCCATCACCATCATGCCCCTCAACCAACCGTGTCAGCAAGCACCTGCAGGACGGCGCGCAGAGCATCGCGGTCACGCTGGGACTGGCCCTCCATGTCATTCATCCGGGCCTGCTGCTGGACGGCCACCTCGGTGAGGTGCATCACCTGGCCGCTGATGGTGTTGAGCTGCGTCGTCATGGCGGCCTGGCTGCGGACGAGCTGCGCGACGGTCTGCTGCTGCTCGGCGAGGTCGCGCTGGAGCTGCGCGGTGGGGGCGGGGAAGCCGTTGGCGGAGGCGGAGGAGCCGTCGTCGTCGCTGTCCGAGTCGGCGGTGCCGGCGGCCTTGGCCTTCTGGCGCTTGAGCCAGCGGGAGTCGTGGAACCGCTTGACGTACTCGTCGACGTCGGTGCCGCACATGACCTTGTTGGCCGCGGCGCTGTTCCAGGTCAGTGACTTTTTCTCGTGAAAATTAAAAGGAGGGAAGGAGGCGGGGGAGGACGAACCGGTTGGCCATGAGCTGCTCGCACGACTTGCGGAGGATGTCGACGCGGGCGTCGCGGGTGACGGCAGCCTTGAAGTCGTCGGACTTGTAGACGCGCAGGCAGTTGTCGCGGAGGGAGCGGTATTCGGCGAACTTCTCTCTACGGGCGGCGGCCTGCTCCGGGGTCTGCGAGGCCTGGTAGGCCCGGGTGCGGACGGTGTTGGGGTTGGTGGAGTAGGAGCCTCCCTTCTTGCGGGCGTCGCCGGGCATCGTGGTGGTTTTAGGGTGGATGCGCTTTGGATTATTCGTGTAGTTCTTGGTTGCTTTGTTTGTGAAGGGTTCGTGGGTGTTTGTGAGGAATACCCAGTGGTGATTGTTGTGCTGGAGGGAAGGTGGGTGGGGTGTGAGGGTGGTTGTTTACTTTTTTGAATACTGCGGTTGAGGTCTGTAGAGCTGGAGGGCAGGCGCACTTGATCACTCAGTTGAGGAAGGAGCAGCTGTGATTCAGCACTTGCCGGTTGTGCCTGCTGTGAGGTGAGGTGAAGCACAGCAGCCGCATGCCCCCCTTTGTGATCGCACCATATGGGACCTAACTAGAGCTGCTTTGAAGATGACTACTAGCAAAGAACGGAAGTTCTCTGATCCTTATGGCTACGATTGTCAATTCATGAGTGCTATCTTCCTCGTCTCATAGCACAAGGTTGGTCCCGCTTAGAAGGACATATGGGAACTGATCCCACTGCAGGCGAAATGGGATGCCATGAAATCATGAGCAATTCGAATGGTATATAGCTGAATATCACCTATTTCTATTCGCTTGAATCCTCGCTTCTGTCAAGTTATGCTTTCTCGCCGATGCTGTTCACCTTGTGGAAAATCGAGACGGCTAGACTTGCTTCACTGCACTCGATTCCTGGTCCATCTTAGCCCCCTCGCCAATTTTGGCAATGAGGCACGACTCAAGAGAAGTGATCGGAATGCCGTGAGCCATCTCCAAAGAAGTCGAGCCTTCGCAGGAGCCACTCGTCGACCTTGGGCTCCCCCCTTTTCATGGCCGTTCCCGTTGACCCACGCTGAAGAATACCTGTGGGCAAAGTCCGTCAGTTATCAGGTCGCGAACTCTACAAGCAATGGAAATGAAGCTCGTAGCACTATTCCTGACGTCTTTGTAGCCCGGCAGGCTTCATGACTTTGAGTATCAGTATACCACCCACAATGAGCTTACAGCTGATCATCACGATCTGAGACTGGCTCACCCAAGACAGGCTCCATCGCAGAACCTATCACTAAATCCGAGGTACAGTCTCTGGCTACAGAGCAGTATAATCTTTGCGGGAAATGGGATCATGAAAGATCTGGCGCAACAGCAGAGGTGTGCGTTCACGCCGAGTCTCAAAGACGACTTGGTTTCGACCGCCCTGCGGCTTTTGGCAGAGGTGGCGTATCGCGCCACCTCGTACTTGACGGGTATCACAATGTCGCAGCGCCTTGGTAGGGTTTCGTGCGCGATTCCCGCGAGCTCTCAATGCTGTTCTTCTCAGCGAAGCGATTCGTACGCATGGCCTTGCAGCCTTCGGTCTCGAACCGATTTGCAGGCAACAATTGGACGAAGCAGATGTTTCAATGGTAGCTTCATCTACGTCGACCGCAGGCATCATTGGCAAGTTGCACGGATCTTTCAAAGCACTTGCCATGGGATCGCACTGACCTAGGCCTGGAGAGTACCTGCAAGGGGGACACTCTTGGCAGCAATCACTTCTGCCATGAAACAACTATCAGGGTCTCTTTTGCGTTATATAATAAAGGGCCATCGGGAAAAGCCAGGGTGGGCGGCTTGCTCGGCATGAGTTCGACGCCAGCATCTACGTAAGGCGGGGTTCGTCGTTCCCTCCCTCATTTCCATCAACTAGAAACTAGAGACATTTAAATTTCAACGAAATCGATGAAAAAGAAGCTTAGTGGCGAGAGCGGTGCGGCGTGGAGCCAGTCTGCTATCTAGCTGGCTAACATCTGTATTGCTTGTCCGTCTGGTGGCGTTAACAACGCTGCGACAACAACATAAATCTAGATGACTCTGTACTCAGGGTCAAGGAGAGAAGCATGTGATAAAAGACACTTCTGTAAATGTTTAGAAGTGTTGCGGCGTTGAACATGGAATGGAGTGCTGTTGCATTTCCATAATATTCTGAATTGAACAACATTAAAAAGGCACTTGAAAAATCACCCACCACCGCACAGTCACTTAATTACTCTGAAAACTCCCAAATTGTATTCCAAAGCAGTCAGAACTGTAACCTTCTAATTATTTATGGCATATCTACAGGTTATGGTCGTCGATTCACGTTGACGATCCCGGGCGACATCGATCTGAGTGGCTCCACACCGCGTTCAGAGTCAACAACCACGACTCAGACACATACCGCACATCACACATGAGCGATTACAACAACACGGAAGAAACTTTTCAACGAACCATCAATTGATATGTTCAAGATACCATAAACTTCTCATCACCCCCCCAGAACCCACTTCAATCCCTCCACCATCCCCTCCTCCGCCCTCCTCGCCCCCTCCAGCCCAGGCGCCTTCACCCAAAACGTATGCGGCCACCCCTCCACCACCTCAACCTCAACCTCGACCCCCGCCTCCCTCATCAACATCGCATAGCAAACCCCATCCCCATACAGCGTATCATTACTACAAACCTGCACCCAAACCCTTGGCATTCCCATCCCGCGCACCTCCTCCACCCCAACCTCCAACGGCAACCTCTCCAGCCCGTCCCGCGGCACAGCCCTCTTAAACACCGGCAACGACGTCGTCTCGAACGCGGGCGTGGCCGTGGTATACGCTCCCCTCAACCCCTCCGGCACAAACTCAACCGACGTGCCCCCGTCCGAGGTGACAGGGCACCGCAGCACCACGCCTTGCAGACTCCCCCGCGGCACAATCTGCGAGACCGCGGCGGCAAGCTGTCCGCCGCTACTGCTCCCGACCACAATAACCGTCGCCTCGGGGACTAGGCCCCTGACGTACGTGAACGCATCCACCGCGTCGCGGACGCAGGTCGCGGCAGGGACGCCGGGCATGAGGCGGTACCCGACGGAATACACCGTGGCGGGCACGCCGTCAACGATCCAGCGGCACGAGAGCTCCTCGCTGTCCGCCTCGCCGACGCAGAGCCCGCCGCCGTGGAAGTAGACCACCGCCACGTCCGAGGTCTCATTCTGCGGGTCCGAGAAGCGGAGGATGGGAATCGGGAAGGCATCTAGCGTGGATGGGGCGGTGAGGTGGGCTTTGGAGATGCGGGCGAGGTGGTGAAGCGGTCCCGAGGGCGCGAGCATGTCTCCGGTGGTGCGGCGGCGTTCTTCTGCGTAGATGGGCTGGCGGTCGAGAGGAGAGGCGTAGGTCTGCTTGGGCGCTCTGAGGTTGGCTGCCTCTTCGTGCTGGAGCCATTCCGGGTCGAAGGGAGGCGGCTGTTTGAGGATCAGATAAGAGAGGGAGTCCATGCTGGAGATGAGGTAGCAATTAGTTTCAATAATGCTGGATAAGGTCAATCACAGAGGAAGGTTGAGCAGGGACACGATGAGGGACCATGCACTTTATGAGCTGGATGAGGCCGGCGGAGTGGGGTCGGTGTCCGGGTTGTTGATGGCGCGGTGTCCCGCTTAGCCGGGAGTAGTGCCGGAAGGGGACGGGACGTCCAGCCTTGTCCGGTGCATTGTGGCGAGGTTTTGCACCTCATGAAAAGGACCTGGCCATCTCCGGAGCCGTTTCCGAGATTGCCGCCGTGATCTGAGATCGAATAATCTAACCCGACGCGGCAGCGAAGCTCAACGTCAGTTACCGCCGAGCAAGCTTGAAAACTCCGAAGGCAAAAATCAACCGTGTCAACCGAGCCGTTTGCTGGAAAAATATGCACTGCATGGCAAAAAAGACATCAGGCAGCGTGGAGTACAACATGGTACACAAGGTCGATATTAGTGTCCTCTGGGTTGATTCCGTCCCCTTGGACCGATCGCCTATCTACAATGCTAGAGTACACAAAGGGAATCGGTGGGCGAATGCGTCTATAGCACAGAGAGATCGCCGAACTTCTCCTGCAGAGGGTGTTAGCTCCGTCACTCGCGACAACACGGATTGACCGTACCTTGTATCCCGGCACGGACCAGCGGCCCTTGGAAACGAGCTGGGAGGTCTTCTCGTCGATCGAGGGCTCGGCGGCGGAGACTTCGTCCTGTAATCCTCATCAGCATCCCTCTCTCGTCCCGCATCTCCCGCGGGTGCACATACGACAGTGAGGTCCTCGAAGGGACGGGCGGTCTCGATGTTGGCGAGGGTCTTCTCGAGGTCCTTGAGCTCGAGGTCGACCTTGTCCTTGGTGGCCTCGGCGTTCTTCACGGCCTCAACCTCGAAGGCCTCGATGGCCTTGACCTGGCGGGCGACGTCGTAGCTGGCGGGCTTGAAGGCGGTGAAGCGCTTCTCGATCTCGTCGATGACGGCCTGGTTCTTGAGGACGGAGCGGTAGTGGGCGAAGTCGACGGTCGTGGGGAGCTCGGAGAGGGTCTGGACCTTGCGGCGGGCGTCCTCGTTGCGCTTCTTGAAGGCCTGGAGGGAGGCGACGGTCTGGCCGCGGAGGCCGAGGGAGGTCGTGACCTTGGCCCAGTCGAGCTTCAGAGCTGCGCTTCGCTGGAGGGAGAAATTAGCTCAGGGTTTCCCTTGGGCGGCTCGGAGATGCGGGTGCGGTGCGCGGGGTTTCAATTGGAGGGCGAGGGCAGGAATTGCATCAATCGGCGACTTGAGATCGGTCGGGTTCGATGGGGGATACGTACTGCGGCCATTTTGGAGGATGTGTTGAGGGTTCGGGGGAGTGGAGAGGGAGTTGCGTCGTCGTGAGAATGCTTGATTGACTTTGCCGAACGGAGAGGCAGAGAAAGAGCCGGGATGAACTGGGTCACACTTTAGATCACGTGATCCGCGCACGGCTGCGAAAGCTGGTTGGGCGGGAGCGAACCGGTCGTGGTGGGGCAAAGCTTCCGCTGCGAATTCGGTTTGCAGGATGCGATCGAGGGGTAAGGCAAGGAAGGCAGAGCTGGAGGTCGCAGTGATAAAATTCTCCATTATTCGCAACGACCTCAATTGAGCAAGGATATGCAGCACAGACAGCTTCACGCATCACGTCACAAGGATTGACATTATTTAGGCAACGGACAGTTCGTCAATTATCATGACCTCTCATTGCGCACGAGACTTTTCGGAGTCAACTCCCTGGGAATTGTACATGCCAACCCATATCCGTCCTTTTTGTGTGTTTGTCGCGTCGAGAATTCGAGAAAGAGATGTTGTTTTCACCCGCAGTGGATGTCGCTAGATGCTCAATGCCATAATCGAGTTGACAATGTCGTTGTCGTTCTCCTTCAGGGCCTTGATTGCCTTCTTCCGGCTGACGTTGGCCTGGGTCATGACGAGCTCGATGTCCTTGTCCTCAATGCCCTCAGCATCAACCTCCTCGCCGTCATCCTCCTCCTCCTCCTCCTTCTTGGCATCAGCCTCGGCGGCCTTGCTGGGCTCAGCGTGGCTGTGGCCGGCGTGGTCGTGCTCACCACCGGCAGCGGCGAGCTGCTGGGCGGCAGCCTGCTGGGCGGTGGCGTTGAGGTCCTCGATCTTGGCCTCACCGAAGACGATGTAGGTGTTGCTGTTGGGGGACTTGTAGACCTCGGGGTTGTTGATGACGAAGAGGATCTGTGTCGGACGTGGGTCAGCCTTGTCTACCCCTCCAACGATCGCACCACCCCTCATTCCCTCTCTGGACAAGGTCTCAACTCACGTTCTTCGGGCGGCGCAGGGTGACGCGGGTGATGCCCTGCACTCTCGTCAGGTGCAGCTTCTCGAGGGCCTTGCGGGCCTTCTTCTCGTTGCGGGAGTGGATGACGGCGGTGGAGCCGGAGGGAAGGCCCTCAGCATCCTCGCCCTCAACCTCGGAGTCGGAGCTCTCGTCCTCGTGCTCCTCGACGGAGACCTTCTTGGTCTCGTCATCGGGAAGCTCTTCAACGCGGGGGTTGGCCATTTTGTCGACTGCAAACGATGGTGTTCTGGTCAGCTGCGGGGAGTTCTTGCAATTTTTCTGAGTTGGGTAGCGTGGGTGGTGGTGGTGGTGGGAGCTAGGATCGCGCAAACGGGGAAGCTTGATTTGGCGAGCGAGCTGCTACGTTGTGTGGGAAAAAGGGAAATTGGGCCGTTTCTCTTCGCACAAAATTGTGCGCAACGTTCGCGGGTCGCTCCAACATGATTTTGACGCAAAATTCGAGACGCAGACGGGCAGCACTCACCAAAGTTTAGAACGAGGGATCCTCAACTCGACGTGGGGTGAATTGTTCGGTGGCTTTGTGGTTTGCAGGAAAGATCGTAGAGAAATTCTAGGGTTAGCCGAACACCCTCTGGATCGCAGTGACTAAAGTGGGGTTACGTAAGCAGACCACTCCCCTTATGGCGTCCAGATTCCCCAGATGCAGATGCGTGGAACTACGATGCAAGGCCGCAGCACATGAATGACATTCTGGTACTTCCGGGCATTCATTTTCACAAGGCTGAAAGTCGCAAGAAATGCAGACAAATGAATCTGGACGTGTGCACGCGTGTCTGGGGGTTGATGTCTTGGCCGCGGAAGAGGGACGTCAAAATAGTGTCAAGATGATGATTTACAGTCGTCTCCGAACGAATAAAACAACTTTTTACTCCGTGTCCCCGTCACATGCCAACCAGTCTATTTGTATGATCTTGATTGTGCCATGAATTCATTTTTGTGTCTCTGAATTTCCGTATTTGACGCCGGTCATCACGATTGATGATGATGAATGTGACATACAGCCCTTCCAGTTACGGAGCAAAAGAGAAGTGCAGCAACCCAATGCTGCAATGGAGATGCAGACCAAACCGGATTTCCCATGCTGTCACGCTCTAAACCAGCCCCGTAATCTTCAAAGTCAACCCTCCCTTTTCGACAGAATTCCCCAATCGCAAGGTGTGTGTCGTGTGTGAATTATCCATCTTACGCGGCGGCCTTGACCTTGACGAGCTCCTTGCGCTGCTCGAAGCGGCGCTGCTTCTTGAGGCGCAGGACCTTGAAGCGGTCGAAGTCGGACAGGTTCTTTCTTCGCTCAATCTGGGTGCTGCGCTTGAACCAGTTGGTCTCCTTCCACTTCTGGTCGATCTCGGACTTCTCCCAGAACTTCTTGACGGTGCCGGTGCGGGCGCCGCGGGGCAGGTTCTCAACCTTGAGGGAAGACAGGAGGGCGTTGGAGAGGGAGATGGGTTGGCGGGGGACGGCGAGCTTGGCGTCTGAGGAGGGACCGTCGACCAGAGCCTGTATGCACACAGAGTCAATTTCCATTTCATTCCTGGTTCCCGGCGTCTTCCACCACCAAATCCCAAGACTGCTAACTCGAGGCCTGATCGATCGTCGCCGAGGGGGAAGGGATTCAACGTACGCGCTTGTGGTCGATGATCTCGACGATGGTCGCGAGGCGGCCGGCGTAGGGGCCGTTGCCCTGGAGAAGGACGACGCGGCCGACCTCGACCAGTCGCCACTTGGAACCCTCGATGGTAGCGTCACCCATTTTGCTGGTCGGTCTAGATGTCGGGAAGATGCGGTGTCAGAAGAGGTTTCCTTTTCCTTTCGGGGAGTGCGATCGAGAAATTGGGATGTTGTTGGAGGTTGTCTTTTGTCTGGGGGGAAAAGGAGGGGCGCGCGTCGACTTACCAGACGTCAAAGATGTGCTGCTATGGTTAGTGGTGTAGTCCTGATGAGGTTCCGCTCGCGGTCGCAATTTTTCTGTTTTGGCGTGTGCGAAGCAAATTTGAGCCCTAACCTATCTATGGTGGTTTTTTGCCGGGTGGCCCGAGCTCGGCGGTGGCTTGGTTTTGCCGAGCCGACAATCAGCCGGCCCAATATGGTCTAGGCGGGCGGTCAGCAAGGTCGGTGATTTCCTGCCGTGCCCCACCGACGACAGTGATTTTTATTGCTTCGACGCGCGCGCGCAGCAGCCTTTTTCCTCTCTCCCATCCATCACTGCAACAGCTTCGAGCTGGGAAAGAGCACAGTTCGGAGAGTTTGCAAGACAGAAGCAACGTAGCAAGCGTGTCATCAAAGGTATGTTTATATTTCTCCCCTTGCAAAACCGCACTTCCCTGGAATGATGAGAAAAATTTGCGATTGATTTCTCTCGGTGGCCCTCTTTCGCCGGAGCGGCTATACCGTTTGAATACATGATATTCAATTCTTACATATTCTGACCTCCTACCCATTGCTCACTCTTGATTATCTGGCTTTCTTGAGAAGCAAGTTGCTAATTCAGCATCAGGTACCAGTAGTGTATCTCAATGCAAGCAAAATACATCACATTTTTGAACAATACTCATCGCGCCTCACTCCTGCGCAGTGTGTGTCACATGTATCTCCAGTGAAAGTTGTGTTTATGTTTCGCTCAATACAGCTATCAAGTCGTAATGCTCATGTTCCTAATGCCCTGCCAACGCCTTGAGAATTCGGTTCTGATCTATGCCTTGCCCTTGCGCCTCAGCTCCTCTTCCTCCTCGGCCTGGATCTGAGCGTCGATCTTGGCACCTCGGGATGGCTCGTTGCCATGGTCCTTGGCCTGGTTGCGGTCAGTGGTGATCGGCGACGTTAGGGGCCAATAAACATACGGGAAGCGTGGGGTCGATCTTGCCCAAACGAACCTCCCGGGTATCATCGTTGTCATCCTCCTTATCCTTCTTCTAAAACATTGTTAGTGGCCGCCGGGTAATATGCATGCACTCCACGTACCTCCTCTGCCGCAAGTCTGTTGGCAATGGATCTCTCATCCTCTGCGATGGTGTTAGAAGTGTCAGAAATTTTGACCGGAGTAAGAACATACTGGAGTCGGTAGCCTGGTGAGAGTTCTCCTTGCCCTCCTCGAAGCGCTCAGCGGTGTCAAGCTCCTCGTTCTTGTGGTTTCTCTGGTCACCAGCCTCGTAGACGCCACTGGTGCCAACCTTGGAGTCGCCGGCCATTTTGATGGTTTGGTAAGGTGTGCGGTGGAGGTGCGGGTGTTTTTTCTTGATGGATAGTCTGCGAGTAACAGAGTGCGGATGATGTACAGAATGCAGATTGGAGTTGTGCGAAATAAATCTTTGGTTGTTGCAGGCTTGCTCTTTCTATATACGGACACTTTGGTGAGGCGTTCTGGCCTGACTAGACACCCCACCAGTTACTTCATCTGCATCTACGTCATGACGTCTTCAGCGCCGATTCTCAGCTCAGACAGGCGCAAAGCTCCCTCCTACGTCATGCAGCAGTCATTTGCTCCGCTGAACGCCTTGACAAAATCCGTTCCTGCCCAAACCACATGGGAAAATCGGCGATGCAACCGGAAGGGACGAAAGAGTTGGGATTGTGGTCGCGGCCCAGGACTTTAGCGCTACCGTTGCTTTGTTGAGCGTACCTGGGCGGTCTCTATCAGATTTGCCTGGTTCGTCGCGTGCCTCAAATGACTACCCCTGCAAATAAAATCTTCAGATCTTAGATACGAAAGCTTGTGAAGGGGCGGTTCCTCCCGATTACTTACATCTGATCCCAACCTCGAGGTTGCGATTTGAGATGCTCTTTGCTGCCCCTAAATCATCCTGCACAAGATCGTAATGGTCACATACTGCTTTAGTGAAAAATGTGCGTGAGATAGGCAAGTACTCCGTGCACCTGACAAGCCTGCCGTCGCAATTCCAGCATTGATGACGAGATCCAGCATGAGGGGAATTTGAGGCTCTGATTTTGACATCGTCCCCCGCCAGGCCCTGGACCCCGATGCATGAGCCACCAGCGGGTGCAGCTCCCAGCGCCGTCGCCAGGGGTAAGCGCGACAGAAACCCCGCCGTGCGTCAATTCGGCGTTGGCGTCCAGACCTGAGCGGGCGACCGGGATGACGTAACTTCGTGGGAGCTCTGGGAGCTCCACTGCCGACTTCATCGCATCGAGCTGCACGCTGCACCGCGCAAACAGCAACAGCTGATTCCGAAAAAAACATCATCACCCCCAAACTCTCCATCAGCCCCGCCAAAATGTTCCGCTTCGTGAGTAGAAACCACCCCCGATTGATTGGCTCCGTGGCAAGCAGCTAATACCCCGCGCAGCACAAGACCCTCGACATCGTCACCCTCTTCCACAAGGCGAGCTCCCCCGCCTCCGTGAGGGCCGCCAACATCCTCAAGCAGGTCTCCGCCAACGCCGCCGCTGGCGCGACCGAGGACCAGGCCAGCGACCACAGCGTCCAGACGAACCCCAAGAAGTCCCGCGCCGAGTTCGAGCTCAACATCACCGAGGAGAACCCCACCGCCGACCAGGTCAAGACCATCCTGGAGTACGTCGGAAAGAGCAAGCTGTCGTCCATCATCCAGGGCGCCTCGACCGAACAAGAGGCCCTGAAGAAATTCCAACAAAATGCCGAGACCTTCCAGAGACCTGTGGTATGCGCTTCCCTTTGACCTGAGTGCCTGTCGTGGATCTCCGAAAGGGCGCCTTGCCTGCTATTGAACATACGTAGCTGATTGAGACATGCAGATTGTGGACTGGAACAACGGCAAGGCCGTCGCTGGCGACAATGAATCTGAGATTCTCAAGATGCTCAATGCCTTGAACAGCAGCAAGAGCTGAGAGACAAGTGCTCTTTAGAAGCTAGGCAGCGCCTTTGTCACCCCTGTATAATGAAATACCACAACCCAATGCAACTCTAGTAGTAGTTGAATGATGAACACAGCTCTTCGGCAAGAAATCTATCTAGGTTTACCTGTCTCAATTTCTTTTCCAGTTGCAACGTCGATCTCCATGTCCGAATGCCTTCATCCCAGTGTAGTTGAGATGGAGGGTGGGCGCTTGGGATTGGATCTGATCTGCCACTCTTGATGTTGAACCTGTTGTATCGAAATTGCTGGCTTGGAAATGGGATGGACAGAATCAAGTCCAAATGAGTTGGTACACTTCAGCAAAGGCGTCAGCGAGAAGGGATGCTGACCTACATGCTGTCTTTGACTTGCTGCAGCTTCCTTGCCAATTCGCAAGCATTGGTTGGTTCACTTGTGAGGCAGGTGGTGAGGAAGGAGAGTCGCATCATCACCACCTGCTTGATGCTGTCCTTGCCGTTGTTGCTGTTGTCCCTGTTGTTGCCACTGTTGCCCCTATCGCCCTTGTCGCCCTCGCTGCCCTTCATGTTGTCCTGCGTCTCCTCGATGATCCGAATCTTTAGGCAGAAATTTATTCACGCTCGCTTGTATTGCAACTCCAGACTGGAAGGCTCTTTCCACCAGCTCCTTCCTGTACTTGCTCCTGCCGCCTTCCCACCACCCTGCCTCCTACCTCCTACCTCCTACCTGGTGCCTCCTGCTGCTCACCTCCTGCCTCGCGACGCGCTCGCTAGCTCCCACAGTACCACAATACCAGGCAATTTCTTCCTCCTCGTCATAACAACCCTCTCTCCATCCCATCCACACACTCCTCTTCCCCCCTCCTCCATCTCACGACTTTGGCGCCATCGCAACCTTCCCTCGCGATCGCCATCATCCCATCTGCCCCCATTGATATCGTCTCTTCTTTCCATTCCATCCGCAAATCCACCTCCTTTGCAGGGTTCACCTTGAATAGGTCTCTGCCAACCGCACCTTCACTTTGAGGCTGCGTCTCTGCATCATGGCTCATCCGCCTTTCCACAGAAACGGTGGCCATCACCCGAACCGACGATACCAGTCGGCGGGCGGCTACGATCGCTATGGGCGTGGTTCACTCAATCGTCAACGCGACCTCCAAAACCCTGTCGGCGGAAGTCAGATCACTTTACCCTATCACCCTGGTCCCCCGCCCCAGCCCCAGGGGCGACTCTTTTACCCGGTTGGCGACTTTTGGGGCTTCGAGTATCCTTATGGCGTCCGATCCTCTTATTCCATGGTCACTAGCCACGATGGCTTGCCTCCGAAGCTGTACACGGAGAATCACCTTCCCGAGTCTTTCTACACTGCCAACAAGCCCGGCAGGGCGATCTTCAGCACCAACGATGGCAATATCCAACCTCGCTACATAGCACCTTCCGACTTCTACTCCGATCGCAAACTACCACTGTGGAGTGCTGAGGAGATTCAGAAGAATGCCAATTCAATTCGCAAGAAGTTCTGGGAGCACATGAAGAACATGGCTGAGCCAGTATACTGGGAAGACATGTGCGACTACTTTGATTGCTTCGACATTTACCATCATGGCGCTCTCAACATCTTCAATCTCCTTTATCATCTGTGGCATGAGAATCAAGACTTGAAGAAGGAGGCTTACCGCGTGATCGCCCTGGAAATCGGTATTTGGTGCGATCGCTGGCTCGACAGAGGTAACAACAAGCAGAGGCTCCTGGACTTCCAAAACTGGGGCAACATCAACATCCTCTTCAGTGCAGACGACCAAGTCGGAAATCTGGACGCCTCACAGACCGAGATCATGAAGAACGCCTTGCACCATCGACATGATCAGCTTCGCCACAACTTTGTACCCTCTCCCACAAATTACCCTTGCAATCAGTTGGGTGTCCATGGAGCCAGGATTCAAGACTGGTTATGTAAGTATTTCAACTCATTTCTCTCCCTATTCTTTTCATCAGAACCCCCCCGCCCAATTCCACCTTGTTTGTTGTTTTACGATGAACTAACATGATTGTAGACGACCAGCCCATCGCCGACAGCCACAACGGCCTTCACACCCCTTTGACTAGGTCATACCCTACACCCATCGGCCAGAGCAGCCTCGACAGTATCCCAGAGCACTCGCAACCTCCCCGAGGATACCAAACGCCCGTGGTCGCCATCGGAACAAGCTCGAACCATGGGGTCTCTCAGCCCCCCTCTCAGCCCCAATCTCGGCTCCAACCTACTCCGGCATCTACGCAGGAGGAAGCGCCCACGGGCTGGGAAAGAGTTCCAGGTAGGGATGAGAAAATTCATGGTCCAGTCCACCGTCGATCTCCCACCAGACGGGACTCTCGCAAGGACAGCACTAGGATTGCGTCTCCTGACCAACTCTCCGAAAGCAAGTCGATGGAGCCTTCACCGGAAGCAGAGACACAGTCCAAGCCGCCATCTGAGGAAGTGCTTCCGGACGAAGCTTCGGGCGACGTTGAGACTACTCAGAGCACGAGGTCGCGTGGCAAAACCATCACGGTCAACCTGCCGACCACGCCGAAGAAAAAGGACCCTCAGGGTTCTGAACCATCCACTCCCCAGGCAAAGGCTACGTCTTCCTCTGCGGTGCAGTCAGCGAAGAAAACTTCTTCTCCCGCAAGCAACTCTTCCGAAGCCAAGACAGCACCGCCTTCAAGCACGCCGAAGCAACTTGAGAAAATATCTCCCTCCCCAACCACAACGAAGAGCTCCTCGAAAACTTCTACTCCGTACAGTCAAGTTTACAACGACGACAACGCCAACAACGTCGAGTTAGTTGAGTACCCCGAGCGCTCTCACCCTACTGCGATGAAGACGCAGGAGGACATGCAGAAGGAGATCGCTGGTCGTAAGTTGGATTCCATCTTCGACACAATGGCTTCAAGTAACCAGAAAGCCTCCTCAACAGCTGAGCAGCCTCTGACTGCTGTCGAGGACACTGACCCAAAGCCCAAGCCTAAGAGCAAGAGCAAGAAGAAGAAGAACAAGAAGAAGAAAGCTGCTGTTGTGCCTACTACGCCGCCTCCCACCACCTTCACGATCAATGAGGATGAGGATGTCATCACTCTTACGCAGAACTACAGAAAGGAGGACACACCTAGTACTCTAACAGAGTACCTTGCCCGGGGCCTGCGATCTATCGAAAACTACCATCCTTCTCAGGTCACCCCCGTTCCTACTGTCGAAGATCATCATCCGAAGCTAGATGCTCCGCCTACTGACCCGCCTGCCACCACCTCGCCTCCCACCACCTTCACGATCGATGAAGATGAGGATGTCATCACTCTCACGCAGAACTACAAAAAAGAGGATGCACCTAAGACTCTGACGGAGTACCTTGGTCGGGGCCTGCGATCTATCGACGACTGCGAGCCTGCCGTGCAAGCTGGACACGTCCCCACTGTCGAAGATCATCATCCGAAGCAAGATACTCCGCCTACTGACCGGCCTGCTACCCCGCCTGCCACCACCCTCATGATTAATGAAGACGAGGATATCATCACGCTCACGCAGAACTACAAGAAGGAGGACGCCCCTAAGACTCTGACGGAGTACCTTGCCCGGGGCCTGCGATCTATTGAAAACTATGAGCCTGCTGAGGTCAAACGCGTTTCCACTATCGACCACCATCCGAAGCAAGATACAACCCAGACCTCGATGGAAAACCTTGCGGAGGATTTGGCTTCGATCAAAATCACGCAGCCTGCTCAAAATGACGAGCCAGATGCTTCAGACACACAGACAGAGCCAACCGGGGACTCTGCCAAGCCCGTCCGCAAAGGCTTCCGCGCTGGCGCTGGCGGCTCCCTTCGCTTGTCGAAGACTCGGAGCAAAAACGTCAAGAACTTGAGCTTTGTTGGCCAGATGGAAGCCGCCCATGGCTCGAACCAGCCTCTCGACCCGGCGCCACTGACTAACGCAAGCTGTAGCACCGCCAATGATGGCAACTCGAGCAATGCGTCTCAAGGCAATGTCTTGACACCTGCGACGCCTCTATCCGCAAGGGAGACCATGCTCAAAGAAAAGACTGCCATGGGGACATCGCTCAAGGAATCCCCATCCAAGGAGACTCTGTCCAAGGAGAACTCGTCCAAGGGGACTTCGCCCAAGGAGACTTCGGCTTAGGAGGCCGCGTCCGAGGAGCGCACAACCAAGGAACATGGAGCACGCGTCGATTCTACCCCGAAATCTGGTCTCAATCCTCGTGCCAATGAGTTTGTGTCTCCTCGTGGCACTGCGGTGCGCAATCCGTCAGCAGCCCCGCTTAAGAAAGCACCGATCCCTCTGGTCCCTCCTTTCAAGGTGTCTGGTCGGCATAAGCGCAGCCCGAACCCCTCGTCAGGTGCCACATCACGCACGGTTACACCTGGTGGCACACCCCCAAAGGCCTCAGGGAACGCTACCGAGGCTCTCAAGGACGTTTCAAAACATGGTGGGGATGTTGCTAAGAGCAGCGCGGACGAGCCGAAGAATGATATCGCTCCCGTCACCAGCAGTTCAATTGCTAATAAGAACAGCGAAGACCATGGTGGTGAGCAGAAGAAGCGGACCTTCGGTAATAAGGTGACCCGGGCTAAAAGCCATCCGCAGCAGACTGACAACAAGCCAGGGCCCGGCAAGAACTTCTCCTCGTCTAAAAAGCCAAAGGTTCAAGGCGAGAACTCTTCTCAAGCCCCATCTGGGCCTACCTCCGCGCTGCCCCCCACCGCGACCTGGGCCAGTAAGCATCGGTCTGGAATCTCGGGCTCTAAGGAGAATGGCGAACAGAAGTGAAGGAACAGAATGCTTTGGAGGAAAATATGCAACGTTGTCGCCTTCATTTGCCGAAAAGATTCGGTGTATGTCTAGAGTAGCACGGTAGATTTGCTGTCATTTGGACGGGCAATCAAGATTGATGTCATGAAATGCAGTGGTAGTGCTATGCCTGTTTCGGTGACTAGTCTTCCAAGTAATGAGCAGTGCGCCAAGAGTGATGAAGCGTACCGGATCTCTCTTCTGCAACTTAAAAGCTGCAGAGGGAAGTGCTTGCCCTGCGGTTAAATTCCCCATCAATCACCTTATGACTAGCCAAACAACCATCCATCTCAAATTGCCAGAAGCTGAGAGTCTCGGCGGAGTTGTGAATGGGTTCGGAGCGCTGAGGCAGCATAGCTGCATGAAGAGATGGTCTTGTACCAAAGCCCGCGGAACACTTCCCGCCGCGTTTGTTAATGACCCTCTGCAAGGTACTCACAACCACAGCGAAGTGTTCCCGGATTGTCCGCCGCGGGGAAGACATGCGACGAAGGACGTTGCGACCTCATGAGTCTGAGGAACACCCGCCAACGAATCCGCCGAAGTTGCCGGCACATTCAAAGTGCAGTCTGGATCTGGGCAGCACACCAATCGCTTCGTAAAAGGTCCCTTTCGACGTCGAGATAGATCGTATTCTCTCAACACGGTGATGGTACATAAACTTCTTTTTTTCCTCATTGACCGTCTTTCCCCTTACCAGGCGAGTCCCCCCGTCTGGGTTCCCTTATGCGCTGCCCTTGACTAGGCCGGAAACCGTCTCCTCGATCTGCTTGTCCGACAAACCTGCGCCCTGTTAGCTCCCGGCTCTCTAGATTGGACATCCAGAGACTCGTTACTCACCCTCCAAGGATTGGCTCTTCTCAACACCAAACTCTGTATCGCGCAGCAATATTTCGTCAGCAATTCCGTCTTCCTTCGGCGATCTGGGGGAAAGGGCAGTCCTAACCGTATCTCGCGTAGATCTTGGGTAGCGTTCCGGCGGCCTCGCGGATGAGGATCGGGGTCTGGGGGTTGTGCTTCTTCATCGTGGGGTACGTCCTCGTCAGGAAGGAGCTGTCGCGCGGTGCCTCGTTAGCAATTGATGCCGCAATGGCCGGCCAGGCCAGGCCGGGCGTGCCCGCCTCGACGGGCGACGGGGAGGAGGAAAACTTACCGGGTCGCGGCGCTGTGCTCGCCGGTCTGGCAGAAGAGGAAGCGCACCTCCTTGAGGGCCTTGCCGAAGGCGTACTTGGTCGACATCGTGGTAGGCGTTTGGCGCTGACGGTGGTGAGGTTCGTCGGTGGAGGGTGCGGCCGTCGGGTGGTAAGGACAATTGGGGTCGATTTGATTGGGGAGCTCGAGGATTGAAGTTGACGAGATGCCGCCGTTAAAGTGGATACCATGCACAACTATTCCGGGTCCCGACTTTGTGCTGATAGCTGTCTTATGCAGATGCACAAGTCAGCCCCCGCCGATGTAGGCGCCCCCCACCAAATGAGCGCTCGCCAATTTGCTCGTCGCACTCGAAGCCTGGGTGGTCAGTGCTCCCCTTCCCCAATGTCAACTTTTTTTTCTGGACGTTGTCCCCGCTTAAGTCCGGTTGACGGGCTTCCCTTTGCGCCCGGGCGCGCGTGGGCTCTAGGTGTGCCACAGGTACGGATACCGTCCCCTAACAGCTGGCCCTGCGCGAACGCACCGCTATTAGCTGCCAAAAAAAGCTGCAGTGTCTGTCTGTCCCGCTCTGCGCCTTGGCCGGACCTCCTCCCAATCAATCGCCATCCCTCAACGAACTTTCCGGGTTTATCTCAACCTTGACTCAACCTCGCATCCCAATTCCCTCCGCCGCCGAGCCCGAAATCTCCCCTCCCTTCCGAACGAACCCAGCTCCCGTCCTCGACAGGGAACGCAAAGAACCGCCGGCAGCTAGCTTCGTCTCGATCGAATTTCACCCGCAATCAAGATGGCCCCGGCAAACAACTTCTTCAAGGCGGCGCGCCCCGTCCTCCGCCAGCAGCCCTTCGCCGGCGCCCCGATCCGCAACGCCTTCCGCACCTCCCAGTTCCGCGCCCAGTTCCGCGAGAGCTCCAAGAGGTGGCAGAGCTCGACCGCCTCCGCCGAGGGCGCCCAGCAGAGCTGGGTCAAGCGCATGTGGGACAGCCCCGTCGGCCTCAAGACGGTGCACTTCTGGTGAGTTTCCCCGCCGCCGCTGGAGAGAGCAGCACGTCGTGGCCGGACAGAGATGCTGATATGAGATGCTGCAGGGCTCCTGTTATGAAGGTACGATATTCCCCCACCGCGCTGCGTCGAGGACCCCGCGAATGCCGTGTTACATCCCTTGCGATGCCTCCCGCGCGCGATGTCGGAGCTTGAGCCTGCGCGCATGATGGACGGATGCTACGGACACATGATGATGGTGCTGGATGCTGACTGCGATTGGTACAGTGGGCTCTCGTCCTCGCCGGTATCGCCGACCTTGCCCGTCCCGCTGAGAAGCTCTCCCTCACCCAGAACGCCGCCCTGACGGCCACCGGTATCATCTGGACCCGCTGGTGCTTGATCATCAAGCCCAAGAACTACCTGTACGTGCCCAATTCTGTCTCGAGCTCGTCCGGAGCTGGTACTAACTGTTTTGTGTAGCCTCGCCGCTGTCAACTTCTTCCTCGGTGTCGTCGGTGTCGTGCAGGTCTCCCGCATCCTGCTCTGGCAATCTTCCCAGAAGAGCGTCGGCGACGTCGCTCAGGAGGTCAAGGAGGAGGCCAAGGAGGCTGTCAAGGCATAGATGGGCTACATGGCAAGGTGAAGTGGGGTTGGAGGGGAAGTAGGAGGAGGGATACGGCGACCTGTGCAGCTTGGCTTGGCTGAGGTCTGGCTAGCTTCTGTAGAGTTCCGGTAATACCACAATGAGCGTGGGGGCGAAGCATTAGGGGCTCATCTGCTGCGGCAGCTGCCCCTGTGTGTTTTGAGTACATCGACAAGGTCTTCGGGCTTGGGTTGTAAACTAAACCTTTCTTCTATTCATTCATCGGGATCTTACACGGCCCAGGATTTGCATCATCGTAGCCCGACGGAAAGATATGACTGTCTCGCAAATGAGAGAATTCCTGCGGTACGTTGATCCATGACAGACCATTGCGGAGGATGATGGGCGGCGACTCGATCCCATCTGTGTTCGCTGCGAGCAAGTCATGAAGCCGGAATGTCAACCATCGCAGCACCTGGCCACTACCATCCGTCTAGCAAAAGGAAAGTTTGGTCACAGAAGGCATTGTCGTCACGGCGCCAAACTTGTTCACGCTGATCGAGGTGATTTGTAAGAGAGCATGCCATGCACGAATTGTGGCAGGTTGTTCATCTGAGGCAGTGGGGGGGAGCACAATTGAAATCAATTCCAAGAAACTAAAGGAGTGTTCCCACAAAGTCCGAACTGCGTTGCAGGTCAGATTATCTTCATCGTTCTTCCGAGGCCCTACGCAAATGCATGCGTGTTGACATCTCCGAATACCACTCTGGCGTGTCGCCTCACTGCCCACCATCCTCGCACGCATTGCCCGAGTCTTCAGTCCCAAGGTCCTGAGTGTTGCTGAGAGTGGCAGGTTGCTCGTCTTGAAGCCCCTCCTCCTGTTGTAGAGTGGCGAAGAGTGAGTAGTTGGGCCCTTCCTGCTTCGGTCCGAACACGTCAGGCCGCAGAAACCACTTGTGCATCAAGCTCGTCCCTTTTCGGAACCATTGACCAGATGTCCAGTGCCAAGGTGTCCAGCCTGCGAAGTCGGTCAGGTAATCGAAGTCGTATAACTCGATGGGATGAATGGGATGAGGCAGTTTCGGGATGTTGAGATGGGTCTGGTGATGTTGGTGCTTGGACTTTGCCCATATGGTCAGGTCCCACAGGTAGGTGTACCCGAAGTTGACTTGAACGGCTTGCGGCTTCTCGAGGATCTCGCCGTTGCGGCGGAGGGTGATGACATAGTTCTTTGCCTCGGGGCCCTCGTGCTCGATGTGGTATTTCTTGTGAACGACGAGGCCGTGGATGATCTGTTTCATGATGTCGAGACGGACATCCCTGTCTTCAAGTGATATCTCCCTGTCCAGGTCTTTATGAGGGCGTATCTTGCGCAGCGGAAAGAGGCCATCGCGCTCATGGCGATAGCAGACGGACTCGATGGAAGGTCCCTCTACATGCTCCCTGAGGACGGCGCCGACATACCTCGTAGTGATGCTACCGTCATTTTTCTCTGGTAAGTGCTGGATAACCCAGGATCCGTGGTATTCCGGGGCCATTTGAGACGGTCCGGTGAGCTTGACATTTTCTTCGCCTGCCGAGTGGAGGCGCTTGTAGACTCCAGCAGTCTGATAGAACTCAGAATTGGCCAGATAGGTCGACCTCAAGACCGGAGCAAACGGAAGCACGAGAGTGGCGTAAAGCATATGGTCGAAGACTTCGGCGACAACGATATTCTCCTCGCGAAGGCGTTCGCCGTTGTCGAGTTCTGTGCTGGGGGCCTTCAAAACTTTGCAAACCAGGCGCAGAGATTCATGGGAAAATTCACCGCCAATGACGTGTATGACCTTCAAGACTTGAACACTGAGCTGCTCTGACTTGTTCTCTGCGGCGGGAGGCGTGTAGTTGCTTGGATGGTATTCCACGTTTTTGGCACTTTCGGGCTTTTCCTTGTCTTCCCGCCATCCGTACCATCTAGCATAAGGCGTGGCTAGATTCATGTGGGGGAGCAGCGTCAGCGTCGTTCCGACGGCGTACGCTGTGATGGGATCGCTGGAAGCCGAGTCTTCAAGAGACATGGTGATTGAGGGGTTGCTAGTAGTCGGAGTGTGAGTTTCGTGTTGACAAGATTGCGGATGGGATGCGCGTGAGAAACAGGAATGGCAATGATTGAGACTGAAGTAGAGGATTAGTGGAACATTGTGGGAGTTGAAAGATTCTTTTATGTTCTGGGTTCTTAACATCCCCGAAGGGTCCGTCAAGGTAGGTTGCGCCTTGTGAGCACTCACCAAGAGTCTAAGAAAGCGATTAATTCTCGGAAAAAGAACAACGGAACATCAAGGTGAAACGCCTCCAATGTGATCAAATTCTGGCTAGCAAAAACTTCGTAGAATCATATGACGGCGCATCCACATCTGCTTTTATTGTTTTGCGATGTCTACGTCTGATCCTCCACCCTGGCCACTATCCCCACGTCTTGATGATTCAGCGACTCTGACTTCCTGGCCGTGAGGAGTGCGATCCAAAATCCATCGTCATCTTCCCTAGTTTACTTCGTTCCCTTCCTCAAGTACCGGAGGTAGAGCGCAACTAACGGGCTCGTCTATCATGGTCTTTCTGTTGTGAGTATACCGACAAGGTCTTCGGACTTTTGTACTGAACCTTTCTTTCCACTTCATCTCTGGAACTCTAACAGTTAATCATTTAATATTGCACGGCCAGGTTGGTTTTCGTATCGTAGTAGAGTCTATGATTGAAGGCCTCAGCCATGATTTCGAGACCCTTTTGCAGGCGTACGGCGTCCTGGGTAACATTGCCAAGAGGCTGCGAAACCTTGCAAACTACCTTAAACGGAGATGCCACTGACGGGCATGTGCCTCGACCATGGATCTGGTCTGGCAGAACCTCGACCTACGATGCCTCATCGATGTTCGCATTGGTCTCGAGCAGGTAGCTGCCCGAAGTGTCACGACAAGATTACTGCTAAGGCCTCCGCCGCATCAAGAGGAAGCCCAAGATAAATAAGGAAACCAAAATTGATGTACAACGGGCATTCTTCCACGATAATTGCGAAGCAATAAAACCACATACACTCAACCTAGGTGTTGCTTCTCAGTCCTGGTCGAGGTATGCAATATTTATGGCGGCTGGTTTGCTCTATTACTTAGACCAGCTCATTCGGAAGGGAGACCTTGCATGATTTGTCTACGATCATTCCAAGAGACGTCCGACGTAGTCAATAACGTTTAGAGTATCAGAAGAAAGAACTTCAACCGACTCCAGAGCTCTCCTAGCTCTGAAAACGAGCGTCCACTTTCACCACTATGGAGCAATATCAACAGAGCCAGGCGACGTACAGGTCAGAACGATTGACTTGCTGGGCGATGCCAGACTTGACCTGAGCCTGGCTTGCGGCCTCCACTCAGGAGTTGCCTGATCCGCCAATGTGATAAGCGGCAGGACACATGTTATGAAGAGGGGAGGTACATGTTGCGCGGGACCTCTTGGCTACGCCCAACAGGCCTATGAGGCAGTGAGGTAAGTCTAGTGACGGAAGTGGCAGATAAAAACCAGCTTCTTCCACGATTCAAACATTTGGGAAACCTTCAGACAAAGCTGAGGAAAGCATGTTTCATCAAGAACTAGATAGAATCATGCGCCGAGGGTTGGAAGACGGAACAGGCTGCGTACCGCATGCTACTATCTGACTCTGTATGCACCACAATCCAACACAATCGTGCGGAATGCGTGAATGATCACGAAAATCACAGCATCGAAAAGGGTTAACCGGCCGCTGCGGAAAATGAATGCCAAAATGATTGCCCTTCTCCGTGATACCGCGTCCCAATTCACCTTGTTTTACACGTTGTGTCAGAGTGCGTCTTTCCTCATCACTAGATTCGGCCTTCGGCCTCCTCAATTTGCTTCCTTGCCTGCAGATGCGACGTGATAAACGGTACGCTGCTTGCGCCCGACAGTCAATACGAGGTCAGCCAAGGTGGCAAGCCGGGACGAGTCCACCACGGCGACTAAGCCCTTCGCCACGTACTGTTGGAGCCCCTGAGATTGACCCAAGCCGGGGCCATTTTCATCTCAAGCGTGCTATTTCTAGTGAGTTTGACCAAAACGAAAGCATTTGCATGATTGGGGTTACGGATACATGTCGGTGCTGCTGCTGGCGCTGCTGCCGACGGGGCCGGGTCCAAAATGCGACGTTGGGGAGCCCCGGTCCCCCAGGCATTGGTAGGAAGGAGGACCGGGGCAAACATACCCCGTTTGTATGAAAATCTGATGAGATATCGCATTTTTCTGATTATTCATGCAGTTTCCATGGTGGACAAGTCACCTCTTACCGCCTGTTTGCGCTGTTCCTTGCCATGTTGCGCCCCGGCTGCATGATGCAGGCGTTGATATGCAGGTAGCCATCGCGGCGTGACAGAATCGGACGCCAGATGAGGTGACACGATACATTGTTTTCATGCCTGACATGTTGTACATCGCCAAGTACGTATCCTGCAGCTTGCCTCGATGCGATTTATCCGAGTCCTCGATGCGATGTATCCGAGTCCTCATACACACTTCCTCATACACACTATGTGTAGCCACAAACGAATTTGCCGCCATTTATCTCATTAGGGCAAGTCCGTGAAGATCAGAAACGAATTCTGTGCTTAAGAATTGTCATCTTTTGTCGTAATACACTTGGATGACCCCCATCTCGACATCATCTGTCGCACCACCATCAGGCTTTCCTCTTGTCTTCACCATATCCCCTCTTTCTCCATTCCAACTTGACTGATCAACCATTCGTACCACCCTGTTCACCAGAATTCATCTCAACATGTCTGCCTCTGCTTCTCAATCCCACGTTGTCTCGAAGGAAGCTAGCAGCGTTGTTGAAAGTTTCGAGAAGGCCGCACAGTTCGACATGTCCTCCATCACCACCGAAGCCCAGGTCGACAAGAGCTCGCCATCTTTGCTGCAACAGGTACTTGCGTACAGTCTCAGGACTGGAAACCAGTATGTCTGCGTGGGAAATCAGTCCGAATGGCAACTCATATCCTTTGACCGACCCGAGGTTCCAGCTGAGGCCTCTCACCACAACACTTCCGATCATATGCAGATAAGCCTCATCAAGAACATGGAGAATCTGCTTCCTGCCCTTATCGGATTCCTTGGAGATGCTCAGCAGATGGAGGCAACTCAGGTCACTCCTGCCTCTTCGAAGCTCTGAGAACCCCTACATACCGGCTTGAATGTGCCTGTCATTCTTTCTCTTCGTGAGTTGCTTGTTCTCATTCTCCGGTGACTTGGTTCTGAGGTTGACGGTTTCTTCTGAAGGGCTCATGAGCCACAGCACTGGGTCTAATCTGTCTCATAACATGTGGTTGCGTTATGAATGGCATGTGGATTATGTTAGATGAAACACAAGAGTTCATTCTAATCGCTCGCATGATAGACTTCTTCATCGCGCGCGCGTGCGTGTGTGTGTTTCGTGACATGTTCTGAGGCCATTGTGGCAATTCCAAGCGATAGAACATGGCTCTTTGTTTGTGATTCCCATGTTTGACGTTTGGTTAGATTGACTCATGATGTCGTATGGAACTGAAAGACTTGAACATCACGAAGGCTTTCTTTTGACCCATCATCCTCCACCTTGACCCATTCGCCAGCAACCCGGCCCAAGACATTGCTATCATGAATTCGTGTTTCCAAACATATGAAAAAGACTGCCTGTCAATTTGGAAAAGCCATCAAGCGACGAGTTCTCTTGGTGTCACGAAACCCTACTCTAGTCCTTTTTGAACATGTCCGGAACATGCACGTCCTCCAGTGCCCAACCATTAAACCCCTCGCGCTTTAACTTGGCTAAAGCCTCCTTGTCCTTCCACGACGGGCTCAACCAAGCGTATGACATTTGTCATAGACAGCCGAAGAGACGTTCTAATAGATCTCCTCAATGTAAACCCGAATCAAAGAGGCCTTGGGAACATGTCTGCCCGGGCTGACCTGATGAGAAGGAATCAGATGCTGGAGTTAGGGGCTTAGAGACAAGATTTGTGCGGTCCTTCGACCTGTTCCCCTTGGCACTGGGCTATATAAACACTGCAGGCAATGACCTTCTTTTCTTCCAGCATTGCTTACCTTAAAGAAAGTGAAAATATTAGTGAAGATCCGGACCCGTCTAGGTTGCGGGACCTCCACGCGTTGTATTGAGTGGTGCCCGGTTCGATGTCGTTGCAGCGATTGTGCCTGAACCGGGCAAGGTCAGGGTAGGTAACGAGGGCGGTGTTGCTGCAGCCGACGGTGGTGTTACCATCGATGGTTTCACCGAACATGGCATTTGAATGTAATGACGCTGAAACGATGTTCGGCATGTTTTGTGGCTGACGTTGTGCATGAAGGGTCTCACAATATCCGTAAGGTTGCGCAAGTGGTTGTAGTCTATGCAGGTGCGGGTTGTAGCACAGATGACGAATGATTGTCTACTTGAGTGCCTATGACACTGAAAGATGCGCTGGTCTGCAAGATTTCTTTGGAGCTGACGGGGAAGGCCGGCTGCCAATGCCTTCCTGAGAAGAAGGAAGACTGAGGCGTGATGGGTGAGACTTGGCAAATAGACAAACACATGTACATATGACGGATGAATCAACTAGGAAGTCAGGGGAAGAAAGTGTGGTGGTAGGGGAGACGACCATGTATTGGCTACACAGAAAGTCGACTTGGGTCCCAGGAACTTACACAGACACTGGCGTGTTGAAAACCCATCGTCTTCAAATCGTCTTCGCTCGCCAAAATTCCAGCTGAGCCGATTCATGGTCCTGGCACTGTTCGAAAGGTATGCGTTGGTGACCACTAAGGAGAACCGCAGGGTGCATTCTTGGCGCGGTGTGAACGTCGAGCATACGAACAAGTCATCGGACGTTTTTTCTTCTTACAGCAACTCAACATCAGGTGGTGACGGCTACTTGCATGTAGATGACTGCAGCCGGTCAAAGATTTGCTGTTGCTAAGAAAAGCGTAATCAAGGGGCCGAGGACTCATTGATCCACCACTGAGATTTCTTGGAAACATTGAGTCTTGATATTTTATTGCACCCGAGCCAAGCAGCTCATGGCCTCCTGCGACGTAGGTACGTCTTGAGAGAGTATTAGGACTTGCCAATGTCGCGTTCCGGATAACAGACCCACCGGCGGCAGCACCGACATGCGTCCGCAATTCCAACCATGCAATGCAATAAGTCCGAATTAGGAAAATGCGCAAGGTAGTATCCCCCCTCCCAAATCGTTTCAATTGAGGGGCCTCAACTCAATGGCAGGGATAGATGCTTTCATGCTAGCTCTCCTCTTGGCACGACTTGTATCAAGACCGCGCGCACAAGCTGCATTATGGAAAGTGAAATCTACGCAATCCCGACCTCCTGAGTCCGAGAATGAGCTCGAAAACGGGGTCTGTAACCTGCTTCGAGATGAAAATTGATGTGGGAAAGACTACCATCCCGGAAGCGCTTTTTCTTGTCATTCCGAGAGTAATGCAGCCCTGAAAACCTAGCCTGATGAGTGAACCATGGCGGAGATGCTGCACGTGACACCTGGATCTGAGAGATATTGCTTCTGGAACTTGTGCTTGCGTGAAAAACGTAGTCAATAGTTGGATTCTGATAAATGTTCAGGTGACTGTTGCTTCCCTGCCTTAGCCCCAGGAAGTTGAGGCGTTGGTGATGCAGCGTCCGAAATGTCATGCGTCAAGGACAGCGGGGAAGGTCGAGTGATTTGATTGAGGAGGCTATACGAAGTTTGGACCCAAATCATTTCCGGTCAAAATTTCCATTGATTTAATTGCAGAAATCAGGCCGCCATTTCTGCAATCCCGTTGTGTTACGGCCGGGTTAATCCCCGGGTACAACCACATGCAAGCAAATGTAGGCGCTTCTCTTTGAGGTGTCATGTGTTATCGAGAGCCCTGAACACGTTGCACTCAAACATGAATGCATTACAGCGCCTCAGAGCCCCTTGTATCACATTGAGAAGCTTTCACATCTACTTTAGTACCAAGCGGAAAACGAGAAGTCGAGGTATTCGGTTTCAAGCCAGACGCTGACGCCAGCCCCCAGGCCCAGCCGCTTCCCTTATCGTGCCCGAATAGCTACTACCGGATCGCCGCTCTCCTCCAACCACCTGCCTGAGTCTTCGTACCTGCCTTGGCCAAGCAAGGAAGTTGAAACGCTCGGAGGCGCCTAGGTTACTTAACCTGATACCTAAATTGAACTGCGGGATTTTCATCGCTCCTCAGTGTCTCCATATCACGACTTCACTTTTTCACAACCGCACACCCGGTCAACAGCCCAGGAGATTATTTTCGCATCAACAACCATGTCCGCTTCTGAGTCTTCGCCAAATGCCGGGCCTAATCCCCCACCGGCGCGGGGCGGCGCACTCTCCGACCAGCATTTGGACATGCCCCAGGGAGGAGAAGTACCTCTTCCTAAGTCATTGTATGACCCATCTATGGAGGCGCCGAAGTCGCTGTCTGTGATTTCCGAATACATTGCTGAGCTCAGCCTGCCGTGTAAGGCCGTGTAAGGCCACGCATGTGCTCATCGCCCAATGCCTCAACGTTGCTGGTCAGGAAGCTCGAATCGTCTCCCCTGAGATCTTGAGCCGTCCCAACGAAGTGCGTTACATCAGAAACAAAAGTCGTGCAGTTGGATACGGCGATCAATACGTCTGGTCAGTGTGTGAGTACTGTATCCAGATGTATTGGACCATCAACCAAGATAATACCAAGACGAAGCTAGTAAAGGAACAAATCATGTAGGCTGGGACCCAGCATAAGTTTGATATCAAGCCAGACGGGGGAGGGTTCCATCGAGAGGAGGGATAGGTACAAGCTGGACTTCATCAGTGACCATCGCCAATACACAATTAAGAGTATTATCATCACCCTCGTTGCATACAAAGACCTCGAGAAGGAATTGCTCGTAAAACGTCCACCTTTGCAATGATTCTCCTACACTCCAAAATTGATGAACAGCGCAGCGGAATGGAATTGGTGATACTTAAATATCATTGTAGAAAATCATCCGAGGCTGGTCCTTTTCGCATACAGCCCATAGCCAGGCAGCTCCAGGATCGTATGAAGATCCCACGGAACCGTAAGAAGTTGGATCACATTCCGGGTCGTTTGGGTGAATAGACCCGTTGGCTGCTCTAGAAAAGCCAAGGTAGGCCGTTCTTTCAGCCCCTTTAGGCAAAACTCTGGGAAGAATTAGCTGGTATGGACTCAGCTTTTGGTTGACGACGGCTGCGGAAATGGCAATGCTGGTCGTATGTCTTTTCTTTTGACCACAGGATAGTGCAATGACGAATGTCGAATGACTCACAATGATGTGGCAAGGTTGCCATACCAAAGCCCCCCTTGATGCGACATCTCCTTCTTCTGATCCCACAGCGCGAATTGCCTGCCTTTCGCTAAGGCTTCGTCGATTCGCTCATGAAGATCAGGGAAGAAGGGACGGATTGAGTGAAGAGAAAGAATGAATCCAATGGTTCCATGAGCGAATGATGCCTCTCTAGTTTTCTTTGATTCTGATCTTGTATTGAGCTGTCCTTTGTCATGATCCCCAGCAATTTCTTCTGCCGAAGGCCAACTCCCATCCTGATCCTGCATCCTCAGCAACTGTGCAAGTTTTTCAACTAATCGGGGCGCTAGTGGGGGAGTCGTCAGAACGAGCTGAGTAAGAATGCCCAACTCCCCGTCCAACACACCACCTCCGGACTTCGGACAAGACCATGGGCTAGTGAGAAGGCATTCGGATATCAAGACTATCGGGGGAGAAACCAGCGGCGCGGACGAGGGAACCCAGTGACGAATAAGACGGAGGAGGTAGAGTGTTCCAGACAGTCCATGAAGCAGGCAAGCCGGAGAAAGATTTGAACGTTGAATCGGGGGGAGGACTGAGAGGAACCTATGAACTTGGTCTAAGTCTTGGAACACGCAAGCGCGAACAGCCATGCTTGCGAGCGTGTCTGAAAGACCTAGATAGTCTGTTGAAGATGCATTTGGGTGGCGGGTGATGGGTATATTTGAGATGTAGGCTCGTGCCCAATGAATGGCGGGATACGAGTGAACCGTAAGCCGTGGAAAGGATGATGATATCGAGAGAAAAAGGTAGGCCGTCCCAGTATGTGACGTCAGAGGGCCGGCAAGACTCGAGTCCGCATAGGTTGATTGTGGAGGAGAAAGCGTGAGTATCTTTGACAGGTGGCTAAGTAAGGGAGATTCCATTTCCAACAGCAGGATGTTGTGACCAGTTTCCATGAAAAGAGCGATTTTTTTCTCAGGCCTGGGGCGGTGTCGTGGTAAGATCCAAGTTACATTAGCACGGGTCAACACCCGCTGAAATCGCGGTCCTCTATCTGTACTACCTTAGTCAGCAATCAGCTAGCAAGCCAAGTTTTGATAAGCTGATTGGTCAAATTCACGCCTGATTCAAAGACAGGAGACTGGTTTGGAGACTTTGGCCGATGGATCAAAGCGATAGACAATGAATTTTGCCTCTAAGACATTGGATTCCAAGCTTCTTGACAAGTTAGTCATTACACTTCAGCTAGAAGTCACCACACAAAAAACAGTGTCGAGCGCGCCATCCAGGAAGCAATGGACAACCCTTGTCACACAGCTTCCATGGTGCATGCCTCGGAGTGGTCTGAGCGTCTTTCACCCCGCATCTACGATGAAAGAGCAGGAACACTAGCAGATGATATTTTCTTCGCAAACTCTAACGACAGTGCGGCTGAATCTTCTTCTTTCCTACCTACAAAGAAGTCAAGTTGCGCAAGCAATGTATCAAGACAGCATCAATGGTAGCTACTACATAGAAAGTTCTCGCAATTCTATGCGCATGTGTTTTGGCTGCCAGTTCAAGCCACAAGAGGGGCTTACCTGCCTGATGGCAAGCGTCACACAAACCTTGCTTATCCAATGAAAGAGAATATTCTGTGCATTTGCTTGAACTTTCTGGCTGATTTTTAAGGCTGCAATCTCCGTTTCTTTGCTTGAAAACCATAAGTATCGAACTCCCCTCAACCTGTCGCTACTCTGGTCCTTCGCTTGTTCATTCTTTAGTTCCTCGCTCTTAGCCAGCGGCCTTCCCCCAGCGAACGTCCTTCATCTCATCTTCACCCTACATTCTTTTAACCAAAAATGAGCGGAACTTCAGCACGCATACTTGACTCTACGGCTCTGGAAAGGTTCGATCCGGGTGAGGAGCTGGTGTTGACGCCATATCCACTGTCCGACCCCTGCGGCATCGGATTTGAAGATTGTGGCAGGGTGCCTTCCGACTTCGAACCCTCTCAAGCCGACGGCAAACTCATCGAGACAGCCAACCCCGCCACGAGAGCTCGCCTCGTGATCAAGAAGCGCCTTAGCGGCAAGTCGGCGAACGGCCAGAAGGTCCTCCTGTGCCGCGTGGAGCAGGCGCCGACGGCCTTCGAGATTGATAACGGACACGCGCAACACCTGTCGGAGGTCAATCTCGTCATAGTCAGGACTTTCACTCCGAAACCGCTCTATCGATGGGTGCGCGATGGATACCGATCTCACGACAATGCATTTGGCGAGCTGCATTCAGAGGCCGCAGTGTACCAGCATCTGTACGATAACAATCTGACCGGCTATCCTCACTTGGCGCCGCAGTACTATGGCACCTGGGTGTTTGAGAAGGAACAAAAGGGCCAGAATGCTTGCGCACGCGACAGGTATACTGGTCTCATCCTTATGGAATACATTGACGGAGTGTCCATCGAGCAACTTGGCACCCGGGACTGGGACCGTGATAACTATGGCCCCCTTCAACTCAGCACATCCCCCATCGCACTGCACAGAAACTCCGACAAGACACTCTTAATGGACACCGAAAGCCGACTCCGCATATTCAAGACCTTGCTCGACGGCGTAGTCCGAAAATTGCACGTTGGTATCTATGTCAATAGGTTGAACCTCACCCCTAGCCACGTTTTACTTTCTTTCCGCAACAATGGAAAAGATCTTGAAGAACCGAGGGTAGTCTCCATCGATTACCACATGGATACGGTATGGTCTCGGACCAAGGAAGGACGTGATTCGGGCAAACCCATGATCGCGCAACAGCTCGACAGGCCACCTCATCCTGCTCTGTACTTTCCACGTCGGAGCTGCATTGACGACTTTGATGGTTGGCTTCCTCGTGAATGGGGCCATAGCGACTCCGATCAGCTCTGGGAATGGCTTTTGAGTGAAAGCGGATTCGGGCCCTTGGATGGTAACGAGAAATACAGCAATCTTCCTTCTGAGAATGCTGAACATTTGGGTCTCTCTATGTTTCCAGTCTTTTGATCTACAGACTAAGAAACAAGATACATCACATTTGTCAGCATAGTTCGTCGAATGAAAATTTAAATCCATTCTTGATGTCTTGTTAATTTCCGTCACTCTTGATCGTGTTTGCTGGGTTCTCTAGACTTGGAACAGTGAGACTCTGATTGAAAGGCCTCAAACTGCTCACAATGAAAAGCACTCCAGCCGTGAGGAGCTGGTTTCCTTGTGAATGATAGAAAGACGACTGGACCGAGTTCTTCAACTGGTTTGTGAGTAAAAGCGGAAATCGGCCCTAAGACAAGAATGAGGAGTGTAGCAAGCTGGGCGCTCCTGAATGATACATCTGGTCCTGCAACGTTCTTTCTAATCCCAACTCAATCCAATGATAGGTTGTCGTCATTGAGCCGGTGGCTCCACAGTCGATACGGGCGAATGTCATCTACCCAGTCAGCTAGGGTGAAGAAATTTGCTAGCCGGACAATGTCTTTCCCCCCCATAGCTTTGACTAAAACATGGCGAATCCTTTAGTAAGGATAATTGTGGTGCTTGGGCTGATTCTACGAAATTGTTGAGCAGTCAAACAAGAACAATTGACAAGGAAAACTCTGGAGTTTCTTGTATAAGTCTAAGAGAAGCAGACTTTACGTGTTGCCTCTGTTTAGTGGTAGTGATCTTAAGCTAGCCAGAAGTACTGTTGGTGAGATTTCCGCTGAGGGCGGTCACGGCTGATCTATTGAAGCAGATCAATCTTGAGGATAAATTCGGCCTGGCGATACATGTGGACAGGTATCGTCTAGAAAATAGACTGTATTCAGTTGTCTGTTTCTGCACAGATGGTGAATTGTGGTCAGCTTGAGAGGGTGTGGCACTAGAATATGCGCCGTTCTGAAACTGGCGCTGATGGGCATTGGAGTGTCAGACGAGAATCAAGTTCCTGGCGTTTTAGATGAGTCTTTGAGATATCGCTAAGTATGTACATGTGCGTAAATTGAGAGGACGATTTGATTGCACGGATAGTCAGTCTTCAAGGCTTGCGTCCCATAGGCTAAACCCAGCAGCGGTGATTGCCTGTCTTTCTGTCACAATACACTGAGCTTGGAGGCCTTAGGCATCGACGGATATGCAGGAGAAGTCATGATGGACAGCCACAGGATGTGTGTTTGGCGCCGTGTGATGTGTTGGACATGGATATAAGTCATCGGGCCATTGTCTTATTCAAGTATCCATATCGCCGCGCCTGCAACTTGCATGGAAACTCCTCTAACTCGCAGAAAGTGCCATCGCTGACAACGCAGAACTCATATGGTGAGGCCTAGTTGATCCGCCGTTTGAAGGCATTGAAATTTCGTCTCGAAATGACTACATGCAGCCAAGCCGAGGGGGTCGCAGCCTGCTTCTCACGTATGTCTTCGAGGGTGGACTCGTACGTTGCATTTCGGCCCCACCGGCAGCAGCAGCACCGGCATGCATCCGCAAGTCTCCAATCATGCAAGGGAATCCATATTAGGAAAACGCTTTTCCATTCAGCTTGTTGGGGCAGGTTTGGAAACCCAAGGCCGAGATCCGCTCGGGGGCTCCAGCTCAAACTTAGCGATGTATTGTCACGTCCGCTCGCCATCTCGGGTCGTACTGTGACTGGGTGCATAATCATGCAGAAGTCAGGACAGCATGCGGGGGGCAAGAGGGGGTAAAGAGGAGAGAGGCAAGGACGTAGGCCTCCAAGGAATGATTGTCATTGATAGTGTAACCAAGAATGGCATTGATGTCGATCGCAGCCGAAATGAGGCTTTGTATTGTGTGTGGATGAGATTGATGGCCGGGTGCATTGGAGGTAAGGCGGTGTGGCCTGAGCCGAGCGGTTAGTCTTGGCAGTTAAGTATGGTTTGACCCAGACACAACTTCATTCACCCATCCCCGAACTTCGCACGGCTGCAAGATCTATGACACTTCTGGGGCGTTCTAATGAAACTGTTGTGACCTGGGTTCATGAATGAACTTGTTATATGGCTCTTGAATGGCGACAGTAGCCCGCCGATCAGCGTCTTGTCCAACATTCATTGTGTTCGCACTGACAAACTTGATACGATCCATATTCCGACCCATTTCTGGAGCCGGTTCGGAGCGTGGCTCCCAGGTTTAAGCCAATAAGGCGTCCGCTATTAACACCCTCAATTCTTCCGCTTACAGTAGTTGGTGTGCACTGTGTCCCTCTACTATGAGGTGGTAATTGTTTGCGAGTACCAAGTTTGACTAAGAAACATTGCTGTTTCTAACGTGAGACTTGGTAAGATGCCCCGGCAAAAGCAGACAAACGAGCGCAAGGGAAAACGGAAACACATTCAACTTTGTGCACGTTCGATACACCGTCACACCAACCACAAGAGCCAGTGCATGGACCCGGGGACAGCGAGTTACGGAAAGGGCGAGAACATGTGACTTTCCAAGCCATTGATATTGGCTGTTGGTGATACGCCATACGCAAGTCCATGCATGAATGGATGGGTGGGGACCTGGTTTGGGACTGGTTGAGGTAACAACGACCCAAATCATTTCCGGCCAAAACTTCAACCAATCTAACAGAAAGGCAGGTTCTCTTATTTCACGGTTGGGCTCAACTTCAGGTTGCATAAACGACTATGCAGATAGCCGTCGGCGCTTACATGCAGCGAGTTTGTGCATGTCACACAGCTTGAAGATGGGCATGACGCAGCACTCCAACCCTCCAAACATCGCAAGGAAGCTTGTCAAATGTTTTACTTGCCCACAAGGAATAATGGTGGGTGATCCTAAGGCACAGCAAGGGAGTTGCCAGAGGGCGTTCACCCCTCAGCGCATCCACCGGAGGGTGGCTCTAGTAAGTCCTCCTCCTGCCTTCCTGCCCCTCTGTCGTCCTGCTCCTCTGTCGTCCTTCCCTCTGTCGTCCTGCCCCTCTGTCGTCCTTCCCCTCTGTCCTCCCACACCTCTACCCTCCTGGTCTTAGGCGGCAAGGTCTGGCAACCCTCATACTAGACAGCATTAGTACTTAAGCCTGGAGGTCCCAAGCAATCCGTCGACTTTTTTCTATTGTCAATCAGCCTTCTTGACCATCATTGCCTCAGTTCAAAGAACCAACATGTCCGGCACTGGCTCGCCTCAAGCGGAGTTGCAGGTCGCTGCCTCCTTCCGAGAAATCAGACAGTCAAACGCCCAGGTGAAAGGCAGGCACCACTCGGGTTCCTTTCGCCTCGTATGGAGAAGGAGAGAAAGACGGGCAGGCGCCAATGAGAACTGATGCCCAATCCCCTTACCAAATAATGCAAGCGGCCTTGATGGTCTCGGTTGCCTTGATAATGATGGTTTCCCGCAGAAAGAGACTTCTCAAACGACGCCAGCACCGAAGCCAAAATAAGAAGTTGCTCGAATCGACCCGTTTGCCTTTTACGCCACCCAGACACCACCACCGGCTCGTACCAGAAACCTCTCCATACTACCTACCCGTTTCTTCCTTCGCAGGCGTGGTTTTCCAACCCCAATACACGACGACCCAACCCGTCGGAGGGTCTGATATCGAGTATCCTTCGTGCGTCTACCAGATAGCTGGTATCACCTTCCGTCGCGGCAGGCAATCAGTCCCCTTCTCTCCCGTTCGCGAGTCGGCCACGGCTCAGAGGCTCACCGACGCCCGCCTACATGACTACCGGCCGATTGAACGAAATCCCCATCTCCCACCAACCTGCGCCTGTTCATGCGCTCCTGAGGCCATCAACTTGCGTGAAAGAGGAGGGAAAACGGGGGTTGTTGGCGGCTGTTACCCGTCAAACGTCAAAATCCGCACACTTGATTGGTGGGACGGAGTTCTCCGGGGCGTGGTCAAGAGGAAACAAAAAAAGGTGACTGGCGCGTCTGCGAACGAAGGCTCCAATCTCCTCCCGTTCCCTAGATGCGCTTTTCTTGGAACCGCGGGAACTTCCCGTTGCTGGTGCTGGCCGTTCGCACCCCAAGGTCGTTGCGCCAAGCAAACGAGACTGTGAGCCCTTCACGATAGGCTTCCCATCCCCTCCCCTCACGGAGATGGACTGCTCCCGCGAAGCAAACCAACCATCCAGGCCGTGCTTCAACCTCGCGGAATCCAGATCATGTCTTCGCCATCCCGCAGCGGGACCAAAGCTTTGACCGCAGAAGTACCAAGGACTGAGGGCGCCGATGGACCTCGAGTCCTCCAAACCCCCACATGACTGAACACCACCCGGAGAAGAACCCTTCACGCGTCCCATTCAAGACATATTGCGTGATGTCAACCCCTCCGGCGCCCAAGTTCTTCACCCAGATCACGCCGCCATCCGACCAACTCCATCCATCTCCATCGTCAAGCCTCCCATCCCCCAAAGCCCGTCTCCCGAGTCCCAGCCCACCACGCAGCCGCGCCCACCCCCACCCGCGCCAACTTCCCCAGAACCCAGCCAACGAAATGATTTGTATCGTGCCGTGTAACACTAGAATGGGGACCTAGCAGCATGTTGATGGACCTTGGTGCCAATTCCAATCCCTAACTCTCTCGAATGTGGGCGAACAGCCTTAGCCGTGGAACCTTTGTCGTACTCGACATAGACATCGTCGGACAAGGACAAGCAGGTCCTCACCTGACACCGCACAAAGGCCTCACGCCACACATCACCGAGGATTACCCGTGTGTCAATGAATAATTATATATGCTAAACGCCGCATAACACATCTGTATAGAATACGCCATGCCGTGGCCCGGCACAATGCAAAATCGGGTACAAATCCCATCAACATCAACATCCACATACACGCAACTGCCTACCCATCCTTTCATCCAACTTGATCCAAACATGAAAAACAGGCATACCCAAAAATAGAGGAACGCCAGGTGTCAACCACCGCCAGACGAAAAAGAAGTTCAAACTTTTTGTATCTTTTATTCCCTAGCGGAGCATCTGATTTCTCTCCAAAGGTAGCATCGTACATCTGGTCGTTGGTGTGGGTTGCCGTACAAGTACACGGTTTACATCGTGCCC